AGAGAGAGAAAAGCAAGCAAGCTGCCCAGGCCCTCCTGTACTGAAATGGTCCCAAGAACAGCACAGTCTCCGTTCGCTCATTTCACCCTTGGTGGAGATGGGGAGTGGGGCGGGTGTCTGGGAACTAAGCTGTATAAATAGGAATAGAGAACAGCAGCTCAGGGTAAATTGTACATCGGGGTCATCTGCAGCTTCTGGGCTTCCTTTCACACTGTCCCACAAACTCCACACAGACAAGGGCCAAACTCCAGCTCAGCTCTGACCACAAACAAAACCCCAGGGGTCTCTCCCATCAGAACTTTAACCCAAGTAAGAAAAAAAAGAAAAGGTTTTAAAGTAGCATGTGACTTAAGAAGCACTTAATACCATACTGTTCAGAGTGCTCATTTTTAGGTCATGGACATAGGGGAAATATTTCGCTTCCTCTGCTTGGTGATATATTATTTTTATTTTTATAGAAAGTATCAGTTTCAAGAAACAGTCAAAAGAGAAGTCCTGGGAAAACACAATATAGGTAGAACCCACTTGCCTAAAAGTGTAGTTACCAGGATCTAAGTTCGACAAGCGTAGGACTGGAGCATCAGCCAGAAACACCTCTCCGAGGAAGGGCCCGTCGACTTCTTCCCAGTGGTAGCTCACTACCTTAGTATCATCTGTACTTTCTACAAAGAGGAAGGAAACAACATCCAGAATGAGTTATGGGAATGGTGAGATGAAAGTGTTACACTTATTGAAAACTTAAACGTGTTTAGTAGAAATACGCATCTGCACAGATCTCAACAGAACACAGTATGCATTGTGGCCATCTCCCAGTCCCTAAATTGTCACCATTTTTCTAGACTTGCATAGGTTTGAGCAGGGCTGTTCTAACTTGTTGACAGGTACTGTGGCCCAGAGTGCAGCGCCTTGACATTCAGCTCCTACTCATCTAGGTGACTGGTGAGATGCTCTCGACAGCTTCATACAGATATCTGAATAACAGGTTCTTGAACATGTTGAGAGCTGATTATCTACAATGTACAAAACCCCTTTACCATATTAATGACTAAGATATAAGTCCAGAAAAAGACTCATGCATAAAAATTTCCCTACTTAAAAGAGCAAACCAGGGTAGGACAGAGAAGATGACTCAGCAGTTAAAGGCACCTGCCACTATGGCTGACGACCTGAGTGTTTAATCCCTGGGACCCACAAGGTGGGACAAGAGAACTGACTAGCAAAAGTTGTCCTCTGAACTCTTCAGGTGTGCTATATTGCACATAATACACACACAGTATGAGCACACACACACACACACACACACACACACACACACACACACACACATACAGAAGGCTGGGACTGTAGTTTAGTGGTACAGTGCTTAACTACTATGCATATGAAGCCCTGAGTGGTTTGATCCCCAGTAATGAGAAGTGGGGAGGGGGTGGTTTTGGCATGGTAGTTCACTAGCATTCAGGAGACTAAGTCAAAATTATCTGCATGAGTTCAAGGCTAGACTGAGCTACACAGTGAGACCTTGTCTCACAAAAATACAAACAAAAAAAAAAAAAACCAAGCAAGGCAGAATGTTTGCCCAGCATCCACAAAGCCCTGGGCTCAATCTCTATGTCACAAAAATAAACAAATAAATAATAAAAGAGAGCAACAATGTATGTCATGTAGAACCCTAGGCTTCCAGACCTAGAAGGAAGCTGGCTTTTCGTCAATTTCCTTTAAGGAAATAAGTTTATATGGCCAACTAATAATCCTGCATGGTTTTTATAACTGAGCTATTCTGATCAAAGATTTTTAAAAATTCTGGCCTTTTCTCATATAATTATTTCCATTTAAAGTGTTCTCTGCCCACTAGGCATGGAGGCTCATGAGCCTACAATCCCAGCATTAGAGGGCCAAGGTCAAGCTTAAGTACACAGCAAGTGTGGGGCCAGCCTGAGCTGACAGAAAAAACAAACAAGCAAACAAACAAATGTGCTGTATGTTCACTGTAGTGGGCGGAGGATGTGGATATGATGCGAATAGATGCAAGCATCACATCACTGTGATGTCCACAGTCTGCCGGCGGGCTGATAGAGCGACATTCGTGAGTAGGAGCCACAGTCACTGCCTCTCACTCTCAGCAGGCCATGGGGTTAACTTGGTGACTGAATGAACGGGAAAGCAGATACAGAGCACATCACACTGTTAAACCAAGTTAACACTAGACGTGTTTATAGTCTATCCTCGCTTGTATGGACACCCAAAGTTAGACTTCCCTCATCCTCTAGTTAAAGAATAAACTGAATAAATTAGTAAGCAAAATGCTACTCACTCTCACTGAAGCCAACCTTGCTTATATTTAAAGGTTTTGTTCAATTGCTAGTATTAGAAATGCTACGTAATTCACAAAAGAATCCTTAGTAATTATTTAAATTACAAATCAAATATCTGACCCTAAAGAACATTGTGCTTGTTTGTTTGTTCGTTGTTTGCTTTAGACAGTGTTTCGTGTATCCCAGGCTGGCCTGGAACTCCCTGAGTAGCAGAAGATGACCTGGAACTCCCCATTCTCCTGCCTTTGCTGCCCAAGTGCTGGGATTACAGGGATGCTGCTGCTCCCAGCTGGAAGCCGAAGAGCCCAAGACACGAAGCTGAAAGAGACACTGGTTTATCTCGGTGTAACAAGTCTTCTTGGCCCTGACACAGAGTGCTCAATCGGACAGTACAGACAGACAGAAACCACCCAAACATGGAGGATACACACGGCTGCCGTCGATGAGGGCTGAGGTCAAGGGCAGAGTGAGTTCCTGTATCTGAGGAGAAACAACTGCCGTGGGTGGCTGGTTGACTCTTGCAGCTGTGGGACAGAAAAAAACAGACAGCAGCTAAGCCAGCTTCGCTCACACCAGTCACACACAAACAAAGAATCCTCGCTAAGAGCTTATTCTGAACCTCCTGGAGAGGTCTTCATCCCCCTGGGTCTCAACTGTGGAAACCGTAAACTTTTAAACCCTCCTGTGGATTTTGAGCTTGTCTGTCAATTTACTGACCTATAGACAATCCCATACTCAAGAGGTGAGTCGTGGAATGTGTACCGTGATTACAGAAAAGGAAGACTAGAGTACAGGGCCTTATTTGTACCAGGGTAGCCTCCAGTTCTCTATGGATGATGACCTTGAACTCCTGTTCCCCTGTCTGTGCCTCCCAAAAGTGTGGAGGCCCACAAAGGTTTCCTGGGAGATCTGAGCTTGCTTTACCCAGCAGGGCTGCATTAGAGGATGGTTTGACCTCATGTATGGCTTCTAGGTGATTGGAAGGGTCTGCACTTGGCTGTGCTAAAGGGAGGTCTTTTGTTCCACCCCTTGGCATTCCTACAAAAGGCCCTTTAGAATATACAGAAGGGGCCAGTGGATATTGATCCAGGCCCTCCTGAGGCTATCCTGTGTTTCTATTTGTTTCTCTATCTGTTTCTCTCCCCTCTATCTTTCTATCTAAATGTTTCTCACTCCTCACTCCTCCCTCCTCAAGAGTACCCTGGGGAAAAAGTGGAAGCTGGCCTCCCACACAAGTGCTAGGATTACAGGGTGAATACAGGTGTATTCAGTACTGGGCAAGCACCCTACCAACTGAGCAACATCACCAAACCATGAATTGGATCTTAAATCTTTGACCGAAGGTGCCCACCACCATCACAAGACTTCAGCTCTAGTAGTGAGTAGACTGTGGGAAAGGTGGAGCTGCTGGTCCCCAGGAGAAATGGCTAGGGGGTGGTGTTGCCACAAACATGATGGAGGCCAATGGCTCCGCTGAGCTGATGGGTAAGTGGAAGCTGGAGGCCAGGACACAGAGCAGGGTGTGCCCACCAGGACCAAAGGTCACCTCCTCTAATCCACATGAATACACTGCATTGTGACCCAGGGGTGGACTTGATAGTCCATGACACATGTGTGCCCCTGATCCTTTAGGGGCACAGGTGAATGCATCTGAAATATCCGTGCTCCTATACGAAAGTTATAGATCATGAGGAAAGAAGGTGGATAGAGTAAGCGTTGGACAGGGAGGGTCAAGGTACAGCTTGTCATCATTCAAGAACAGCGAGTAGTTACCTTGTATACTTGAGTAGCATGTCAAGCAAGTGCTAGCGTTACATAAAAAGCAAAAGAAAACAAAAAGACTAAACATATATGTCCTTGCATGTTTCTCTGCAATGGTGCCGGGGAGGGGGTTGTGTGTGGAATGAGAATGGCTCCCAAAGGCTCACGTATTTGAATGCTCAGTCACCGGGAATGGAACTGTTGAAGAGGATTGGGGGCGTGGCCTTGTTGGAGGAGGTGTGTCACTGGAGGTGGGCTTTGAGGTTGCAAAGGCCCACACCAGGCCCAGGCTCTCTCCCTCCCCCATCTCTCCCCCTCTCTCTCTCCCTCCCCCCCCAACCTCCCACCCCCCACCCCTGCCTCTCTGCCTGCCTGCCTGTGGATCAGGATGTAAAGCTCTCAGCAACTCCTCCAGCACATGCCTGCCTGCACGCTGCCATGCTCCCTGTCATAATAACAATGACCTAAGCCTCTGAAATTGTAAGCAAGACCCCAATTAAATGCATTTCTTTATAAGAGTTGCCTTGGTCATGATGTCTCTTCATGGCAATAGAACTCTAACTAAGACAGTCTCTAAAGTAAAAATAAAAGAATATGCGGTCCAAACTCCAAAGGCAGTCCAAATATCCAGAAAAGAGCTCCACCTAGACTACAGGAGGATTTCTGGCAGTTAGATAAAAGCCAGCATTTGCCAGGCGGTGGTGGTGCACGCCTTTAATCCCAGCACTCCGGAGGCAGAGGCAGGCGGATCTCTGTGAGTTCGAGGCCAGCCTGGTCTCCAAAGCGAGTTCCAAGAAAGGCACAAAGCTACACAGAGAAACCCTGTCTTGAAAAAAACAAACAAACAAACAAACAAACAAAAAAAAGCCAGCATCCCTCAGGAACTTGTGAAGCTAGTTTTTCCTCTGTCATAAGGATTCATTTCCATTACCTCTGGCAGAAGGGACATGTGGCACTTGTGGCACCTTTCAGCATATCAAAGCCTATGCTGGCTTCCAGGCTCCCTCTGTATCACCAGTACCTGTTACAAAGCCCAGCATCTAGTCCTTCTCACCTCCTCCCTACCCTAAACTCCCTTCAGCTCGCTGGCTTCCCTCACCCCAGCTACTCAGTCTCCTTACAGCCTTGCTGTTCTTGCTATGTTTCCTCTCTCTCTGCTCCCGCCTCTCTCCCTGTTCTCTCTAGTCTCTCTCCCTTGCTATTCCCTCCTCTCTCACAGACAGCCCTGACA